TCTGTACTGTGTGTGGTGCCGAGGCGGGGGGGCGGAGGTCGAGGGAATTTGCACCATTGATTCATACTTGCCACTGTTTAAGTTATTTAAGAGTTTCATGTTTATCATGCATTAATCTGAGGAAGTTAATGATTTAGCTCACGCAGATTGCCTTTGTTTAGGTCTATGAGCTTGCTTACTGTAAGTTGAGCTCTCTTTGAACATCATGGAGTGAGTGGGGAACTAAAGCCATCACAACTTCCCTTGAACACTGTAGTTTTCATCTCCCAGCGTGTGGCCCCAGGGTGGCCCCACTCCTCGTGCCGCAGCAGGAGCAGAGGACAATGATAGCACAGGCATGAGTTATAGTCGTAGTTAAATGTGCTTTTATGGCTGCAAGCTGGAGCGATATGCGAATACAGCTCCGATGTGCTGTGATTTCCAAAGTGGATAAGCACTATTTACGCTTTTTAGTTTCCTGTCTTGTGGAAGAAATATGATGCTTTTCCAAGAGTAGCTATTTTGATGGAGAAGTGGATAGCGAAAGATATCACATGATGGCCAACTGTGCGATCAGAGAGAGAAGTGTATTTCCTTATGACTCCAAATTAAGATGTAATTTCAATCTCCTTTTTACTGTTATCAGCCAAGTGGAAAAGGTCCACGCCTACCTGAAGTTTATTGTGTCATCAGCCGGCTGGGGTGCTTTGACTTATTTTCCAAGGTAAGAACATTTTTTTTTCAATATTGCTTTTTAATTTAATTGTTTACTGAGACGCATCCGCAGTGATGGGCCAGATGAGAAGAATTTATTCTTTTGATGGGAGATAACTGTATTTTACGGTTGCTGTTTTGGATATTCCATCCCTATTATTGGGTTCATCAAAGAATGTCTTATTACTTCTGTGACTGAGGCAGAACCTGATTCAAAAAACATCTGGGTGTCTGTATGATCTGGCTGACTGAAGTTTTTTCCATTGTTTTCTAAAGCCGTTCTGTGCTGAGCTGTAATTCTTGGCATGCACAGTTTGAATGATGGGCCAGTACCACTTTTACTCCAATACCCTGTGGAATGATGAGGTTAAGAAAAAAGATTATTTGATAAGTGAATTCTATATGCTTAACTCTATTGACATGTTTTTTTATCCTAGGAGGCTAGGAGCATGGATAATCTTTTAATTGGCCTCCACATTAATGAATGCAAAGCTGCATTGTATGCTGATGTGGTTTACCTAGGTAATACATTTCTTGACACAGGAGTTTCGAGACAATGAGCAGGACATTGCAACTAAACTGACGGATTAAATAGTCATAGAAACAGTTAACTGCCAGTCAGTTCCAGAGCCACAAGCATTCTTCTTTTGTAAGACAAAAGGTTATTAAAATCAACTATTAAGAACATTTCTGATTAATTAACATTCGAAATATCTCTCTAGCTGCCAGTTTAGGGCCTCCTGGTCCTCTGAGAGCGTGTCCTGCAAAATCCAGTGAGCACCTCAGAGTATTGTATAGGATTTGCTGGTGATCTGTGGAGAACAATGATATGTCTAATGTCAAATGGCTGCCTTTCCCTTTTCCAACTTTGATACAGTGTTCATAGAAATGTTGTTTTAATTTGCCAGAGATTTTCACTTCAGATATGGGAAATCTCACAGAACTTAACACAGATTTTTCTTGTTCCTTTGTATAGGAGTAAAGTTGAAAAGAACATGTAAATCATTGAAGTTAGTAAAAATCATAGCATTTATATTGTTTGTATGATCTAATAATCATACAGAATGTTATCTTCAAAGCAGGTTTCAAGCTTTTCTAGATAAAACTTTAACACAAATCTTGTGTGAAGAAAAACAATTGGGTTGCAATAGTTATTTGCGATTCTGCTTCTGACGTCTTTCATAAAGCTCTGAAACCAAGGGGTTTATAACAGTGTCTCTTAGACATAATATGTTTCTAAACACAGATATCTGTGAGCGAAACAGAATGCATTGTTCTGGGAGGATAACACAGCTCACCAAACTCGTGGTATGGAGACATGTCCTGAGGCTCTTTGTTTGCTTTTATGTTTTTATCTAATTTTGATAGTGCACTAATTTTCAAAGGAAAACTTGGGAGAGGGGAAAAACGGAAAAAAATAAAAAAGAAAATTTAAGTATCCTCCTTACAACCAAGTATCACTGCAGCTGAGGTATAAAGTCAGACAAGGAAGGTCATCGTACCAAAATTGCAAATAATCTGCTTTCTCAGTTCAATCTGTAACTTGAAATAAAGTGTCCGGTCATCCAGCCAAAGTGAACCCAAGGTTGATGGGTGAGTGTAATTTCACTGGCTTCAGCAGGGGCTGTTCCCAGGCATTGTGGCAGGCAGGCCCTGGCCACATGGGCCTCAAATTCTTGGTCTGTGCAGGAAGGAAGGCTCCCACTCAATTGCGTATTGGGCCCTGAATGGGGCTGTAATACACCTGTGCTCTTTTTCAACTACCAGGCTTGTGGAGGGGCTGGGCCACAAAAGGACCCCACCGCACTGGAGTCTGGCCACAGCAGTACTGTCCTACAGAGGGCTGGTCACCTCCTTACGGTACTGGCACCAGGGTGGGAGCAGGGTGTTTGGCAGCACATGGGGCTGACTCCAGCCCTGGGCTGGATTTAGCACAGCTCTTTAGCATGCACTCCAAGCATCGCATTTGGAAAGGGTTTGGACGAAACAGCTGTTAAATGTAGGAGGAATAGTTTGAGCCTCAGCATCCCTGTTGGTTTTGAAGACAGATGTGGTGTGGATGGAGACAGAATTTCTTGAAAAGTGAGGCAGTCTCTTTTTCCAGCCTAGTAAGAGGAACATGGGCTGTCCTAATTGATAAATCCAGTGAAAGAAAGGAAAACGATCATGATGGTGCACTTTGCCAAATTAGTCAAAACAAGAAACAGTTGTCTTTACAGAAAAATGTGAGTGATGAAAGACCACGAGATATTAAACCTTGGATGTTATTTATGAGAAAAGCAAAAGGAGTCTTCTGTTTTAAAATGTTTATCATCTTGTTTCTGATAGCCTGCATTATTTTCATCTTCCTCAAAGCTTTTTATGCTCACTGTTTTAATATCTACTGCTAAGACAAACTTGAGAACCACAGATATCTTTACTTCCAGCCAGTTCATTTGGTCATGGTTTCAACAGATGTTTTTGACCATTTTATCTTCTGAGATCTCTGTTCAACTTTTATTTGGTTTAAATGCTCCTTTTTATTTGTGTTGTGAAGGTTGTTGGGACAGGGATATGACACACACATGGCCCCCAACTCCAGCAACAGAAAACATCAAATAGTTACTGCAGAAAAGGAGATATGTGTTGGGCACGTTACAACTGCGTGCTGGCAGTGTGCAGGAGCACTAAGGGACCCGAGGCATAGCCTTGGTTCATTACTATTTCCCATTTAGGCAGCTGGTTTTGTTTGGTGAGGACAGTTGTTGTGCTGCAAATTACATCAAGAATTAAATTCGTATCTTCATTTATGGTTATCTGCCACTTCCATGGACTGGAACGCAAGCTATGTATATAGCGTCAGCTTTGCTTTAGTTAGGTCTTTACTATGTTGCAAGGAGGAAGAGGAAACTATGCCTCTGTTGGCATTTGGTGTCACTAGCTATCGTTGTAAGTCACCAGCTTGTGCTTAAGTATCTTTTAATGTTCTGTTTCAGTGAAAAGCATTTCCAAGAGAAACAAGGGAAAATGCCTGGCTCAGACCCACTAACTCTTGTATGGCCTTTTGCTCTTGAGTGGTGGTTAAAAGATCACCATTTCAGGTCAAACCACTAACTGCTTTGAAGCTTGCTTTCTCGTCTTCTTTAGGTTTATCGTCTATATGGTCTGTCTAATGTGGGAAAACTTAGCTGTGATCTAATTTATGTTGGACCATGTGACAAAAGAGAGAAGAAAATAATAGTCCCCTCTATCTGTAAGAAGTTCCATCTGCTCATTTCAAAACTAGATTGCCTGCTCTGCATCATGTCAAACAGAAAATGACCTTCATGCAGGCACCCAGTGTAAACAACTGGGCATGCTTCATGAGGCTGCTGGCGGCTGGCTCCAGCTCAGCACAGACTGCGACGTGACTGCTGCCGCCGTGGCCGGGGTTCTTCCAGGAGCTCTTTCCTGGTGGACCTCTGCTGGCATCACAGTGTGGCAGGGCTGCTTTTCTTGCTGGTCTGGCTTTTTCCTGCCCTCTCAGTTGAAATGGAAGAGATGCCCAGGGCAGAAGAAAGTGTTTCTCCTTAATACAAATTTCAAGATATACCACTGAGACGTGAGGCTGACCTGGCCTGTGATCATGGGATTTGTCTTGATCTTTCTCTCCTTCAGCTCACCCTGTTGTTCAGGCCAAATCCCAACAATAGATCCCTTTTGCCATACTGAGTCTTCTTTCCCCTTTCCAGATTTGTTATTTCTTTGTGTGAACTGCATTCACAAACAGGCTCCATTTTGTAACTGGAAAACGTATCATTTTTAGAGTACGATTGAATCCCATGGCTTTAATGGTAGTGAAGAAATGCATGGCAGAGGAGAATTAAACTTAGGTCTGCTGTGTGTTTGGGCATATGCAGGTGAAAAGATGCTTCAAAAGTGTATGTGGTGCTGACATGTTGTGTCTCTTTCTCTCTTATGTCTTACTAATGAATCAGATCCTGGATGAGGTTGAAAGGAGAAGGGGAATATCTGCTGCCCTGGTTTATCCATTTATGAGGAGTCTGATGGAATCTCCTTTTCCTGCACCTGGAAAGACAATCAAAGTCAAAACCTTTCTGCCTGGAGCTGGAAACGAGGTAAAAAGCAACTGCAAACATTAAAAGTCAAAGCCTCCCCCCTCACCACTCCAATATCAAACAGCAAAAGAAAAACAGGAGGAGACATATGGATACTGCAAGGCATGTGAGGTGGCACACCCTCAAAATGGTGTGCCATTGCTGGTGTGCCATTTTGGTGTCTCCAAAATGCAGGAGCTGCACCAGTGTTCATATGCTAATGCTAGTTCTCATTGATGATTATAAGCCAATTTATTATTATGTATTTGTTACTTTACATTTATTAATAAGTTGTGCTTAAGAAAAAAAACACAACACACCTGTCCTAGTATGCCTGGCCTAGTGTAGTTAACAGACTAGAGTGTTGCTGGGCTTTATCACAGTGATAACAAGCAAGTATAAGTTTCCCATGCTGGCTGTACTTGAACAGTTCAGCAGCTGGTTGCTATTGCAAACCTCATTACTGCTGGTCTTGGCCTTGGTAGGAGGGGTGACCAGCAGCATTTAAATGGCTCTTTTTGGCAATAAAAACCCTTTAACTGGCCCTCAAAGAAATAGACTGTATGTCATATAAAGGTTTTCGCGTGTATGTGTGCACATATAATAGATTTCATTTCCTTTTATTACTGACTCAAGTATCTAGAAGCCTAGCATTATACAACATACACCTTACTGGAAAATGACAATATTGGTGCCTTGCTTAAAACGTTTTTTGTAACTTGAGGCTTGCTATCCATTCGTCATGTCAAATCCTGCTCTCTGCATGTCCTTATGTAAGTATACAATAGCTCCACTCAGATGGGCAAGTGTATAGAGGAAATACATTACTGCAGATAGGAATAGAATTTGGCCCAGTTAGTGAAAGCAAGAAAAAAATTTCCCTCTAGGGTTATTTTATACTCCTTAGGGTTAGTTTTACAGTGCTATTACTATTTTTACATTGAATCATATTTTCTCCAAGTGTAATGCCACTGACTTCAACGGAGTGGGCCTGTAATGTCACTTGGTATGAAATGTAAAGGTTCTTGGATAAGTGACTTGGAGGGCATGTTTAAGTCACAGGCATTTTCTTCTGGAGAAGCAAAGGAAAACTGAAAGGCTGATTGGCGTAACAGTGGTAAGATCTGATAATGCTTTTTTGATGTGAATATATCTGGGAACCATGGATCTGCGACTTCTCTATCCTATGCTCAAGCTTCTGAACTCTCCCAGAGAAAAACATTGAGATAATTCCAAACAAACAAACAACTCTTTCTGGCTGAGCTTTGCTCTCTGTTATGCTAGTACAAACTCGTTATTTAAATGGAATGCACTGGCTTAATTAGGAACAGAATCTTGTCCTTCCATTGTGGCTTCTCTGGCCTAAACAAAGATGATGATTAATTGGGAAGCAGACAGTATATTTCTTTGTGATGAGCAGACTGAAGCAGAAAGCTTTGCCAGGCAACAGAAAACATCCATGGCATTTGTAAAAGCTGCCGTAACTTGCATTGCATCCTACCCTGCAGCAAGATTTTAGTGTTGGAAGTTTTGCAGTAAAACCAGCTCCTCATGATTTGGCACATAAACATGATTTGAGCTTGCAATCCCAATGCTGAGGAATGGAAGTGGGCACCTTTACTGAATATGAGAAAGAGGTAGGCAGGCAGCGTTTCCCGTGGAGGTATTCATGGTACACCATCGCTCTGCAATTTGATTCTTACCGCTGTTTGGGGCAACAGCTGAGTGATGGGTATCTAATACTCTGGCACCATAATGTTTCTGTACTTCAGGCTTAAAAAAAATCAAATCTGTACACAAATACTGTTCTAACAGTGACTTTCTTCTTACAGTCCTGTGTTACTGATCACAAACAATATTGCAACTAAACTGGTATGAACTGGTTTGTTTCCAGTATCCTGTGGTCTTGATCATATCCTTAAAACAGTGTGTTTGTGAGGAATTTTTAAGGGCTACTCCAGTTTAAACCCAATACACTATGCTCGTGGAATGTGGTGTCATGTGCATGAAAACATAAAAGTGGTCTAAAGCAATAAAGTGACGGTGATTTTTTGACATATGGAAAGAAGGAGATGTATATATGTTCCTGTTAATATGTCTTCAGAGATTTCAACACAGCTTCAAGTTGGCCAACTTTTCCCCTTTCCCTTCTGTTTCCTCAAATTCCTCAGTAGTTCATCATTTGCTGTCTTGCACTTCATATTTTTCTCCCTCTGTTACTCTCTTCTTCATGTTATTTTTCCCCTCTTCTTTTTTCTGTCCTCCGCCTTCAAGTTCCACATCTGAGCATGTCAATTGCAGAGTAAAAGGAAGATATAATAAAGGAATCAAGCAAAAGGCATTTCAGAAAAGGAAGGAGAGGGCCTGAGGTCATGGATGAAGTATGAAAATTAGACTTTAAAGGGATGTCACAAGTCACCATCTAAGACCTTGTCCTGACTCCCCAGTTAAGTATATATATATACATATCTTTATGACAAAAAAAAAAAGGTTTAAACATTATCTAGTGAATTATGCATCATAGAAGAGTGAAAATGAAGTAAATTGGGTTTAAATTTTGCCTGGCCTTTTAAGTTCAGTCCCTGGCTCCTATCTAGATGTATATTTGAATTGCTAGCCAAGTTCATAACCAAATTTACCTTGTCTTTATGGCTGTTTTAACCTTGTAAGCTTCTGGCTCCAGTGTTTCCAGTTTGTTACTTGCTTCATACTGTTGACTCAGCCAAGCTTTACATCTCTGACAGGGTGTTCAGAAAGGCAGAATTACGCTTCCCTCGGAAATGACAGCAGATTTAACGTGCACAACTGTATTCTGGAAAGAAGAATGACTTGATAGTGAAATGCGTAATACGCCATTTCTCTGGAGTGTTGTGCCTTGAGCCTCAGTTTGCAGAAGAGGATGGGGGTTGTTCTCTGTGTCCCCTCAACAGGAAAGCATGGAGCGGTGCTGGAGGGCCCCGGCTGGGGTGCCGGGCTCCACTGGTGCTGTCAGCCCTGACCAGTGATGCTGACTGATGTTTCTTGGATGTGTTCAGGTCATTGAGTTGCGGCGGCCCATGGACTCGCGCCTGGAACATGTGGACTTTGAATGCCTTTTCAAGTGCCTCAGCATTCGTCAGATCATCAGGATCTTTGCTTCTCTCCTGTTGGAGCGGCGTGTGATTTTTGTAGCAGACAAGCTCAGGTAAGTGGCAAAGGGACCTGAATCACACATTCAGGACAGTACTACCTCTGGATACAAAAAGCCTTATAAAATGTCCAGAATGGTTGTCAGATGTAAGGATCCTCTCACTGTAGGATTTAAATAATTTTTACATCAATGGAAGTTATTTGTATCAGGTGGGGCACACATATGCTAGCAGTCACTAGTTACAAGCCACTTGTTCTGTCTTACTTTCCCATCTGTAAAATGGTGATACCAATACTCACCTGCTTCATAGTCACCAAATGTTTACACAGCCTTTTGAAGCAATATTTCATTTCGGGTTTTGGAACAGCGTACTCATAAACAGTAGCAGAGATCATCACTGAGGTGCTTCACCTTGTGGCCATGCAATGCAGCCAGGCAGGGAAGCGGGATGCTGAGAGTTCACCTGGTTTGCTTCACGCAGTACAGAGAGTTTATAATGGGGCCATGTTTCAGATCCTGTACTACCAAACCCCTCCAGTGGGAGTGTTAAGAATGCTGTTACGGCCCATCCCAACTAGTTAGGATATTTTTCCTGGTGCTCACATGACCTGAAAACATTTCCTTTCCAAAGCTCCATCTTGGGCTCTTTGCTACATCCTTTCAACATACCTCTTACTTCCCTGCCCTTTAATTGCAATCTCACCTCCTTGGCTCCTCTGAGGCATGAACTCACCCCAAGGTGTAAGGAGTGAGAGCGACAGGTCACAACTCCACATAGCCTTTACCAAGGAAATGGGAGCTCTGTGTAGGCTATACCTTTGCCCCGCAGCAAAGAATCATCCCTTTTTCAGATGCTTATGTAATCCATATAGAAAAGCGTGCACATTGTAAAGAGGACATTCTTTGCTGTGGCATGATAAATAATAAAAGATGGCAAATAAAAGTAAAGGCCGTAATTTATTAGACTCAGGAACATCCAGCATCTTTTAAAAGGACACAAAAGACTGTATGGGTGGTTAAAAACACAGATGGACCTACCCAAACAAACTCTGTTAAACACTTTATCAGCCCCGACCTTCTCTGAATGACCGCCAGAAATAATAGCTGCACTTAGTGGCCGCCAGTGTATATAATAGCAAAAATACTTTGCATAGTAAAAGCTTTACAACCTTTAGGGGAAAATTTCTTAAAGCTGCAGACCCTTCTCAGGTTATAAAGTTACTTCCTTAGCAGTCTTTTTGTTGTCTAGAACAACAGGAACATTTTATTTCATCCCTTGCCTTGTCAGTAACCCTTAGTTTGAATGACCATTTGGGATGACTTAATTTCACATAAACTCCTGGTGAGAATTGTGTAGCTAGTCCAGGGTTTCTGCAGTACTTTAGTAGATATGTGAGTCACACCATGAATATTGGGGTAGGTGGCTTTTGAAAATACTGTTGGCATGTTCCTTCTGGCTCTTTTTCTACAGCATGGTTAATTACATCGTTCTGTCTGTTTCTGTTTTACCATTCATTTAGCAGAATTAGTGGCACCCACAAGTCTGACTGTAACTCAGAATGACACAGGTCTGCGTTCCTTCAAATGGCACAGTGATTTGAGTGGAAAATCACAGAAATGGTACAGAGAAAATGAGGGCTGTGCTGCGCTGCCGCCAACTGTTGCTCTGCGTCAGAGTTCCCACTTACTCCTTTGTAATGTTGTCCTGGTTTCGCAAAGTACCCCGAGCCTTGATCCGTGGACTGTGGGCACAGTACTGTGGGGATGGCTTGCTGCAGGAGACATCCTCAGCCGTGAGGACTGGGACAGAAAGCAGCCATTCCCTGGAGTGTTTGGCTAGGCCAGCTGTCCCAGAGAATGTCTTATAATGGTTCTGGGCACTGTTCAGAGAAAAGAAGCAACAATTAAACCTACTTTGACAGGGTTAAGGCAGCTTGGCTTGGAAAACAGTTATGTTGCCGATGCTGAGGACTCATGGTAACCCAGGTCTTCATCAGGCAACCAGGATTTTATATGCATTGCAAGCCTGACTGGAAGCTAACAGCTCAGGCTCGCCTGTGCAATTATCTTTCTCCTGATAGCTGCCTAGTCCTACAGGCCTCAGAGCAGAGGATAAGAGAGTCCTGCTTACAGGCAAAGCACTGCTGCTCTCCCTTTTGGCACACAGAAATAGGGCACCAGGGCCAACAGGAACCAGAAATGATAAAGATCCCTTTTGGTAAACACATATCCAAACATTGCACTCTCCTGCAAAAATTATCCTCCAGTGAACTGTTGTTTCTGTTGTGAGAGAGAGCCATCGGGTTAGGAGCCATTAACACAAACTTTGAGAAAGGAGAGGATTCATATGGATCCAAGAGGCTTGTGAGGTTTTGTGGTTGCTCCTGTAAAAAGGGACAGAACCTTTCTTACAAAAAGGTTTATATTCATAGACTTTATTATATCTGCATGTACCCTTTATTATATACATATACTTGGTTTTGTTTAAAAAGAGTATGACAAAATCTGATGTGGTCGATAAGGCCCTGGATTAAGACTTGTGAATCCTGAGCTCTCCTTCTGAACCCTCTGACCTGCTGTGTGACACATGCTGGAAACGTAGCACCTCTTTCTTATCTTTTGTCTGGTCTGTCTGGGATCCTAAACACTCCAGGACGGAGACTACTTCTTGCTCTGCGTGCGCACGCAGCTCTACTCAATACAGCATGGCCCCTCTCAGCATGGGGATCTAGGAGGTACTGTAAAATAGAAACTAATAATGAGTCCTTTGACAAAGGCCTGGAGAAAGTGACAGTGGATTTAAATTCAATACCTACTGAGGTTTTCATGGTTTAAATGGGGATGAAGTCTAAAATGAAACACTCTGGCTTTGAGCTAATAACTGTCTGTCTTGGAACCTTTGCCTTGTCTGACATGAATTTTGTTTATGGGCATCATGGCTGAAACCAAAGGAGTTTACCAGTAATGTGGAAAAAAAAGAAGTGAAATATCTTACAGGTCCAGTCTGTGGGCCCAAAGAACGAGAGCAGGAAATTAAAAAGATTTTACAAGGGTTTGATTTCTGCATGTACCCAAAAAATAGCTTAGAAATAAATGATGTTGAGGTTTAGGCTTCAAACAACGAGATGCAATGGGCTTTTGTGGCTGCCTGTTTAACAGGTCTCCAAGCAATAAATGATTTCACACATTATACAAGTTTGGGAAAGTGATGCCTAGTGAACTAAGATTCATTCAATAAATTGTTATTTATGGTTCTTATAATGCCCAGAATGTGAAAATTTATAGCCCTTGATCTTTGTGCAGAAGAGGTTGCCATTTTTGAACACAGAAAGTGATGCTACCTGCAATGAGGAAACAATAGTAAATTTTTGAATGACAGGACTGTGAGGTTGCCTTGGTTAGATATGTGCAGTTAAGTTTGTGGGGGTTTTTCCCAATAAGTTGCTTACATGTTTTTTCTGCTTGAAATTGGGTGAATAAATCCCTACGGCTATTTGCTCACCTTCAAAAATTAATTTGAATCCGCCAGTGACCTTTCAGTATTTTGCTTTCCACAAACAGTCAAGAAGACAACAGAGAAATAAAGATCACAATAGAGAAACTTGGAAGAATAATAATAATAACTTACGAAGAGGTAACTTAAAACCCCAATTCCTTAAACATCTGCTGAAAGCACAACTGAGATGGTATGTTCCATCCCAGTTGCAATCCCTGTCCCAGCTAGGAGCCCCTATTTATGTTCCCGGTGTTCTGCCTGTTCACCCCAACTCTGAAACGATGCCATGACTGCCAGCTGCAAAGGGGGAGCGGCGGTAGGGCAGTCCTCTGGGGTTTGAAAGGCTAGGCAGCAGATGCAAAATCAGTGAGTTCTGGGGCTTGGGGAACATTGGCTTTGCTGCAGGCACAAAGGTAGCAACAGTAAATAAATAGAAAGCAAACATTGGAAGAAAAATATTTCTCTACTTGTTTTAGTTTTATGCTGGGGAAACAAATTTGTGGACATGTTTGCTGAGGAGGTGATGTATCCATGCATGTGAGAACAGTCTCTTTGCCTTTTCCCTTGAATGTTTGGAGAGGGGGAAAGGAAGGCCTTGGGCATCTCAATGTCCCTTTGCTAGAACCCCATTTTTTATAAATAAAAAAAACCCCTCTTGATGTAATCCACTATATTGTGAGGGACTCTGAGCATATTTTGCTTACATTTCACTTGTGCGTCCAGGCAACGCCAGCTGGAGTCAGTGGGAGTGTTTGGATGAGGCTTGTCTTTTGCTGTGGATCTAAATCCTAGAATATTCGTTTCCGTGGCCTTTCTGAAGCTTTAGGGGCTGTGAAAGGCTTCTATAGAGTCCCTGGTTTTGCAAAAGACAAAATAACTTTTCATTGTTGTGAATTTTATTTTTATATGGGATATTTCAGCTACTTCTCAGTGAAGCAGGAGCGTGGGCCTCAAGGAAAAAATCTCTGTTGACAGCAATGGGTTTTATGCTCCTAAACCATACAGGTGAACTTGGAAGTGTACCCCAAGGCGCAGGTGGGCGTTTCTTGAAGTGGCAGTGCCCACTCAGGAGGTCCCCCCTCCGGCTCCCCTTGTTTGCTCCTGCCCTGCGGCACACTCTCCCTCGCCCAGGAGGCCGTGCCAGCCCAGCCGCAGTAGAAATTACTAATTTTGCAGAGTTTCTCCAAACCAGATGGGCCCCTTGGCCAGGTCACACTAGGAGCTCCTGTGCTGGGAGAGGGGCAGAGCAGGGGGCTGGGGCTGGGCAGAAGCATTGGGATGGGCACAATTCAGGGTGGTGTTGCCACTGAAAGGTGTCTATCATGCTCCTTAGGTGTGAGCCAGCTGAATTTACAATATCTCATGAGATATTGTAAATTTGTGAATAAACCCACAAGTTTTTGCCTGTGTGCAAGGGAGACTTGAGGGAATGAGGCTGAGACAATGTTCGATGACAGTGAACTTCAGTGCAGCTAAAGCTCCTGCACATCAGTGTCTTCCTCCCTTAGGGATGGCTGCAGATGAATTTGTCTTCCCAAGAAGAGTTTTTTCCCTCCGT